TACAATCATTGATAAAAAATCAAAACAAAGATACCATACTCTTTCCTTACAACGGCAAGTGAGTGTTACTGTCGTGTGCATATTTGGTTTCCGTTATTACTCGAGCGAGGTTATAGTAATGTAATTGATGACTTATGCATGCGTGCGCAGGTACCACTATATTCTTCTGGAGATTAAGCTTAAGCGTGGACTAGTAACCGTCTTAGACTCGAGACGGAAAGATCCCAAATCCTATGCGGACATGACTGAAATGCTCAGCAAGTAAGTTCAATCAATCATTATCGCACCATATCGGAAACTTTTTGTTCATTTCCTGATATCTCAAGTAATAATAATTATTTTCTTTGTCTTGCAGGGTTTGGAAACAGTTCACCGCAGAAGCTCCGGGACTGCCGAAGGAGCTGTGATATACATACCCGAAAGTAAGTACTAATGGCTAGCTAGTTGTGCGCATCTCCCGTTGATTCTATAGCTATACTTTCATCAATGCCATTTATAATGCTTCATTATCAGTTTGATTGACCTCTATTTCTCGTAAAGTGCTTGTGGCAGGAAGAAGGGAATGATTTCTGTGGATACTACGTGTGCGAGTTCATCCACAACGCGACTTTGAAAAACAAGCGGGGCTACTCTCAAAGACAATATGAAGTGCGTAAGCAATAATATTCACAATTTCATTTTATTACACCATCATTTCTGTTGAGTTTCATTCATATATATGTATTAATTAACCCCCTTCTTCAAATTAGACGTGGCAGATGCGGAATGAACTCCTAGAACCAGATCGCATGAAAGCAACTCAAGAGGAATTGGCGGGATTCTTTCTTGACCACGTCATCAATAAAGCCGGAGAATACCATGTGGAAATTGATTTCAATTGCTAGGGGATTGTAATTATAAGAGATCTTATACATATTGTACATGCATGTATGTAGCCAGTAGCGTCAGATACTTGTTGTTCGACCAATCTCTCGGAGAAGGAGAGAGGTCGATCGATCACTTCTCTCGGTATGCATGAACTTCTGTACTGAATGGTTCTCTCGATCACTTATGTATATATAGTACGTAGAGTCGACCAAGCACGGACGTAAGAGAGGACACTTCTCTCTATTAATTAGCTAGCTAACACAATATATGAAACACGTAAATTAACCCCCCAAAACCCCCAATCCCCCCTCCTTTCAAAAAAATAACAAAAACCCCAACCAATGGAATGCTGACGCGTGGATGCTTTTTGGTCCCGGTTGGTGCCACCAACCGGGACAAAAGGACCCCTGACTGGGCTCGGCGCACAGGGCCACGTGGAGGCACATTGGTCCCGGTTCTTGTTTGAACCGGGACTAATGGGTGGAGGTATTAGTAACGGTCCATTAGTCCCGGGACTATTAGGTGTTTTTCTACTAGTGTTGCTTCTCTTCTCGCTCTTATTTGCGTATGTTAGCCACCATATCATGCTTAGTCGCTGCTGCAACATCACAACTTATCCTTTCCATACCCATTAAGCTTTGCTAGTCTTGATACCCATGGTTATGGGATTGCTGACTCCTCGTGGCTCACAGATTACTACAACAACAGTTGCAGGTACAGGTTGTGCGATGATTTTGACGCGAGAGCGATGTTACTTGTTTTGGAGTTCTTCTTCTGCTTCTTCTTTGATCAGGGGATAGGTTCCAGGCCGGCAGCCTGGGCTAGTAGGGTGGATGTCATTTGAGTTTCTATTTGTGTTTCATCCATAGTCGGATGGTGCTCTTATGTAAGATGATGTTGTATTCGTGTGGCATTGTATGCCTTATGTATGTATCCCTATCTATTATTGAATGTTGATGTAATGATATCCACCTTGCAAAAGCGTCTTCAAGATGCGCTTCTATCCTTGGTGGAACCTCCGAGTTCCTTTAGGATAGGGTCGCATCTTGGGTGTGACAATGTTGGACAAGCCGGCTTGTACGTGGTTGAAAATCTTGCCCGATAACTCCATTGGATCATGGGCAGAGTTGAAAAGGCGTTTTATTCAGAATTTTAAAGACACATGCAAGCAGCCTATGTCAATTCTGGATTTGGATTGTTGCATCCAAGGTGAAAGTGAGTCTACAACCAATTGGGTGCGTCAGATTTCACCTGTTATACACTCTTCGGATAGTATCAACGCCGGTTCAGCAGTCATATGTTGGAGAAGAATTGTCGCTTCCTTCCCCTTAAGTAGAAATTGGGGTGGCTTAAGCGTAATTGCAATGATATGGGGGAGCTCATGGCGGCGCTTGTCAAGTATGTCGACTCTGATAGCACTAAAGATCCTGAGTCTGATGATGAGAAGACCGGGAGGGGGAAGAAGAGTGGCAGTGCAAAGGGACAACATAACACGGCGGGTCAAGGTGGTAATGGTAACTGTAAGGCGGACGACGGTTTGGACTTTGTGGCCAACGCCAACACATAGATCAATAACCAACGTCATAAGGGGAAACCGCAAGCGCCCCGGTTTGGAGGGTCGAAGTTTAACCTTGAAGCTATGTTGAATCAACCTTGTCTGAAGTACAGAACCCAGGATAAGCCGGCCGGTCATTTTGTGGAAGAATTGCTTCATCATGAGGGGGTACAGGAATTCTATTTTTTCTCAGAATAATCATGGTCCGCCTGGCGGTCCAGGTTCCGGTTCTCATGGACCTGGTTTTGGGGGTGGCAACTCGAGCTCTGGCTTTCAAGGCCAGGGGAATCATGGTGGTTTTAATCAGCAATCTGGCCAGGGGAATCAGCAGCAGCAGTCCGGCTATCAGAGTCATCCAAAGCAATTGAATGGTGGTCAATATCATGTGTTTACCACAAGCCTATGCAAGCGAGATCAGAAAATCCAAAAGTTGAACCGGCGGTGCCTCATTATTTGAGGTGGTCTGAGCGGCCTATTGTGTGGAGCCGTGAGGATCACCCGCCCCAGGTTGACAATCCAGGTTAGTTGGCATTGGTGGTTGCTCCACAAGTTGGAGGATACAAGCTTACAAAGGTGCTCATGGATGGGGGCAGCAGCATCAACATCCTTTACTATGAAACCTTTTGTAGTATGAATTTGACTGACAAAGATCTTAAGCTGTCCTCTACTGTTTTCCATGGAGCGGTGCCTGGTAAGTCGGCGTATCCAGTGGGTAAGATAACACTGGATGTTGCTTTTGGAGATGACAATGATTCCAGAGCTGAGAAGTTGACCTTTGAGGTGGTGAAAATCAGGAGCCCGTATCATGCTTTGTTCGGGCGGCCGACTTACACCAAGTTTATGGCACGGTCGTGTTATGTTTATTTGCAGCTTAAGATGCCGGGTCATAAGGGCACCATTACTGTGCATGGTAATAGAAGGATTGCCCTGGATTGTGAAGAGAGTGATGCTGCTTATGCTGAGTCGGCCTGTGCTACTGAGGAGTTGATGTTTTATAAGGACAATATTGACCCGGCTGATATGACTTCCCTGAAAAAGCCAACCACAGAGAATGTTGCAAATTTGGTTAGAGTACTGAGCAAGTAGGCCACCATCTAATTTCAAAGATAGTGTATGTGAACTTAATGCCTTATGTAGGGAAGATGATTAATATTGTAGCGCTTCTTTAGTTCAAACTGCATTGTTCCATTGTTGTAGATCTGCTTACAATAATTTGTTCAGTTGGGCTCATTTCTTCAACCAAAAAATTGCGCCCCCTGTTGACCTGTGTTCCATGGAAGAAATTTTGGAATGTATAACATTGACCTTTAGAATAGCAGTACTACCATGCTTTCTACTAAATATATTTGTTAATTACATCATTGTTTTATTCAGCTGCATTCTTGGCTTCAGCTTCTTGAACAACCTATAATTGACGGGAGCATGTAAAAAGTTGTGGATTTTTTTGTTCAATCGCTGCGACTATGCGATGGTGATGACGTTCTTCCTATCTATGTTGGAGATGACAAGATTGACGAAGATGCATTCAAGGTAAGCTATGAACCACTATGAGCACAAGGGGCGCCAGGGGAGCTAGGTGCAGCAGTTATGTCGCATGGAAGCAAAAAGGCATCCAGATTTCTTCAACAATCATCCCACAGGGCAACCATGTACCATCTATCCATGCAGTGCAAACCACTAATTTTTTTACCTTTTTCTAAAAAAAGTCACAATTATGTCTGACTTACTATACACTGTACTTCCATGCTCCAGCATTCATAACATCAACAAGATAAGCCACAATTTATTTGAGAAAATATCTTGCTTTATCGATCAAGGATAATTAATAGTGAGTGTCTCTCGAATACAATTCAGGTCACTAGACGCAGCACATCAAAGCTATACACGTGAAAGTACCTCTCTTGTTATGAACAGTAAAAAATAGATAAAATAAAAAAAATCTGAAATTATTTTGTGAAATAATTTCACAAATGTTTGAAGCATGCAAAATTTCATCGCGAAATCACATTTGTGGAAGGCCTGGCAAAAAAAAATCAGAGCTCCAAAATGCTTTTGTAAGTAACATTTTCAGAGTATCGATTTTGTTTTTTCTTTACCACGCCTGCCACCAATGTGATTTTGCGATGAAATTTTGCATGCACAACAAACATTTGTGAAAGTATGCCACAAAATAATTTCAGAAATTTTGCTCTCCCACGGGCTGAGAAATAAAATATAGAGAGGCTTTCCCTCAAAAGAAAAACTATACTTGCCCATGGGCGCGGCGGCCTCTGCCTGCTAGTCTAGTATTATGTTGATCCGCAATCCCTTATAGTGAAGCCATAGTCAAACATGACACCAACAGGCAGAGCTAACGAATTGAAGGAAACAAGCCATTAACAAAGTCCCATAAGGCCAGAAGGCCAAGTGAAGAAGAGCAATAAAAAGTGGACTTGCACATTCTATATGAAGTCATGTACCACAATGTACCACTTAGGCTATGTCTAAAATCACTACAAGTCACTTCCACAGTTCCACCTTGATGGAGACGCCCTTGCTCCAGCATATAGAGTTTGTCGTGAATTTAAAACACACCCTTTTAATTTGGTCCCTCAGCTGTTGAAGCTACTTCCATTTCTGCAGAAATACAACAAGAATTCAGAAATAAATAAATAAATAAAAGCAGCTTAGCATCGACTAAGGACCAACAGGACTAACTATCCAAAACATTAATACTAACCTATTACTAGCAGCAGCCTGCTACACATGCAAAAAATCATTAAGAGAAGGCAAACTTGCTCCGGAGGGGAAATAAACCCCCGTTTCTTGAGCATAAATATCACCGTAAAAAATATTCGATGAGAAGCCATCCGTCTATATTCTTTGAAAATGTAAGCGCTAACTGAAAAACCAAGGCGGAATACCTGGAATGTAGAAGCTCATGTAGGGGCAGACTCTCCTAAATTCATCGAGCACCTTGGTGACTCGGCCTGACTTGAGTTCAATCATGTAGACGCAAGCAATGGTGCCAACAAAAATGGCGTCGGTGCCCTCCGCAAAGCCGACCACAGATACAACGGGAATCCAACTATAGTATTTGATTCCGTTAATTGAGTGTGAGAGGGCGTCTTCAGAAAGCAGCGTCTTGAGATCGATTACCCTGCGTTGCGTCCATGTCTCTGCCCCCTCGGCGCCAGAGCCAGTCTCCCTTGCCCACAGGGTTATGATGGTGTTATCCACAGCGGCGAATCCCAGGCCACCGTCCTCCATTGTCACGAGCCTTCCATCACACTCGGCCAGCGCCTCCAACACGGACAAGCGGGCTGTAGTAAGTTGGTACTCGATGGTGTAATCCAAGAAGCCGCGGAAGTAGAGCGCGTCCCCCACATGGACGCTAGCTGCAAAGTGGGCATTGGCCCCGGGGTGATGAAGAGAGGTGATCTCGTTCCACGCGCCAGTCTCCGAGGAGTAGAGGCGGGCGGAGGTCACCCCCTTCCCCTTGTCGGTGGATAGGAAGGCCACGCGGAAGGGCCCACCCTCGCAGCCGCAGTGGTCGCAGCCTTCCGCGGCACAGAGCACCGCCGCTGCGTAGTCGACGTAGTCCTCCGGCTCCGGCGAGGGCTGGGGAACCCGGCGTTGGTCGTCCGTCATGGGTTCCCAGACGACGAGGTCCAAGGTCCCCTTGATCTGCGCGTTTGTGGTGGCGAAGAGGGCCCGGCCGTGGCGGCAGTCGACAACCAACCAACATGGAAGGACGGGATCGACAACGCGAAAGACGGAGGTTGGGACGAATCGGGAATAGTAAGGTTCACCACCTTGCAGGATTTGGAGGATGCCCAGCAGGTGAGGTCTCCGGTGGAACTCGCGGTAGCGGCGGCGGAAGGTGGGACCAGCGACGAGGCGACGCCAGGGTTTGCAGACGAGCGACGCGCGCACGAGGCACGCGGGATCTTCCGGCGGGAGGCGGAGAAGGATTTGCTCTACGAGGTCTTCCATTAGCGACGACGCCGACATGGTCGCAGATGCGCTTGTGGCGCGATGCATGGGAGTAATTGACAAAAAACTACCACATTTCACGTATCCGTTCTACACAACTATCACATTTTAAAAACTGACTAAAAACTTCAGATTAATACTAATTTCGTGACAAAAAACTACCAGGTCGAGTTGAAGACCAATTTAACCGTTTTAAACCCCTTTCTGACAGAGCTAGCCCACCTGTCGGGACGGCTGCCGCGCTAACAGCTAACGGCGCTCGCCTGCTCCAGGATGTCTTCCCACCTCGTTTCCATGCGGGTAGCCACCGCCGCCATTGTTGCCGGAGCTCGTCGTTGCTCTTAGGCGCCGCCGCTGCTGCTCTATCTGCTGTCGTTGCTACCTGTCGCTACCACCGTTGTCCCCGCTGCTGGCCTCTGCTGCCTGCGCCGACGAGCCCCTGGCCTCCCCTATCTGCTGCCGCGCAGCTCCTGCTCGCGCCCCCTGCTGGCTTGCTGCTGCTGCGGCTTGCCGGCCCCGCCGCCGCAGACCGCCCGTGCCGTCCGCTGGCCTGCGTGCCTCGCCCCAGCCCCGCCGCTGCTCGGCTCCCGCCTCTGCCTCCGCCGCGTGAACCCTCCCCGACCCGCTCTCACGGCTCGCCCCGCCTCCTCCTCCCAGCGCCGCACCGCCCCCTGCAGCCCACACACGGTCGCGCCCGGTGGCTGGCCAGGCCCGCATCTACCATCGAGCAGTAGCTCGCGACACCGACATCGATGTCGCCGCGAAGGCTGCCGCCATTGCCGCCGTGCAGTGCGAGGCAGAGCCACCACTGGTTCACCCGACGCTCGTGCCGGGGTCCGACGTGGTGTAAAGCGAGCAGGCGGCCGGAGCTCCCCTGCTTTCATCTCATGCACAAGAGGTGTTTGTTGAAATGCCAAAGAGAGAGAGGAGGGGAGGAAGAAGAAGGTTGATGATGACGTGTGGGTCCCATCTGTCATAACTGTTAACTTGACGGTCAAAATAAACGGAGTTGACTTTGTTGCCGGTCCCACATGTCATAAACAGGTTTAAAATCATAAAAACGGTCATCAAGTCAACTTGGTAGTTTTTTGTCACAAAAGTAGTACTAATCTGGAGTTTTCGGTCAGTTTTCAAAATGTGATAATTCTGTGGGACGGATACGTAAAATGTGGTAGTTTTTTGTCAATTACTCGATGCATAGAGGCGAGGGTTTTCGGTAGTCTCCAGGTGGGTCTCCCAGCCATTAATTGCCCATGGCTGCAACAGGGTAAAAATATTTTATACGTAATAATCATCATAATTTACCATCCATTTTGTCGTCAATTGATTATATACCAAAATAGCAATAGAATCCGTATTGTTTTCTAACCAAAATCAATACTCAGTTAGAGTACTTACCAACGAAAAACATGATGGTGTAGGCCTTGGCACACCTCGCAAGGCGTTGAGATTCTAAAGGACTTTAGAGCGTCTACAATGAGAGCCCACATACCCGCCCCAAACGCCCAGACAGCTTGCCCGACCACTGCGCGGACAGAAAACAACCATATAATCGGACCTGATAAATTTGATTTAAATACATGAATTGAACAGCGCCACTTATACCCGGCCCATATCCGGGGCGGATATGAGGACATCCGGACATGCTTGCCACACAACTGCGACAAGCCGGACCCATCCTAAATCCTCTGAAAATTGATTAGTTTTCTATATAATGATGAAAACAAAAGTGTTGTGCACACGACAAATAGCTGACTATTGCACTAAGGCCTATCTAGTTGCGTGCTGCAGTATGTTGTCATGCATGGATGGCCTGAGTTAATCGTCGTGTAAAAATCGTGTGCATAGCAGTGCCCAAATAAAAATCTCTTCTCTGGAAGCACCTGTCAAGTGATGCGCTCAGCTGCTGTCACGTGCCGTGCTCTGGCCGCAACTTTGGGATTGCGTTTTTTTTGGACATGTTTTCAGTATTTTTTCAGCTTTGGCTTAGTTTTCCTTAGGTTTTGGTGATTTTTTTGGGAAGCTGTGCTTTCGCGTAAAAATCGCTTCTCTTCATCAAGAAGCACACCTATGCTTCTCGAAAAGAGAAAAACATACCACTTCCATCTGTATAGGGCCTAACACTACTAGGAAAAATCCTAGTAGTAGCGCGGGTTTTGAGGCTAGCAGCAGCGCGGTCAGCCGCGCTACTACTACGTCGCTACAGCTAACTGTTAGTAGTAGCACGGTCGGTACCCGCGCTACTACTGTTGACTATATCAGCTGCGCTTTTCTGGAACACGCTACTATTAGTTAGCTGCAGCGGTTTCCTAGCCCCTCGCTACTGCTATATCTTTCATCATTTTCCCCGCTTCCTACCCCGTTTCGGTCCACATACTAGGTACTACTCGATATCAATTTCATAAAGCATTATAGGTACTAGGTAGTACTCCCTCCGTTCCAAATTACTCGTCGTGGTTCAAACCACGACGAATAATTTGGAACGGAGGGAGTACTAGATAACAATTTCATATATAGTCAACATGCATCATCAAGCAGTACTAGGTGATATCGACCATGATCATCATATGTAGTTCTAGATGATATCGACGACAATCTGTTGGGGAACGTTGCATAAAATAAAATATTTCCTACGTTCACCAAGATCAATCTATGAGTTCATCTAGCAACGAGAGAGGGGAGTGCATCTACATACCCTTGTAGATAGCGAGCGGAAGCGTTCAAGAGAACGAGGTTGAGGGAGTCGTACTCGTCGTGATCCAAATCACCGGAGATCCTAGCACCGAACGGATGGCACCTCCGCGTTCAACACACGTACGGTCAGCGTGACGTCTCCTCCTTCTTGATCCAGCAAGGGGGAAGGAGAGGTTGAAGAAGATCCAGCAGCACGACGGCGTGGTGGTGGATGCAGCAGGGATCCCGGCAGGGCTTCGCCAAGCGTCTGCGGGAGGGAGAGGTGTAGCAAGGGGGAAGGGAGGCGCCAAGTGCAAGGGTGTGGCTGCCCTCCCTCCCCCCCCTCTATATATAGGGTCCCCAGGTGTAACGCCCCAGATGTAACTTTCCCTATTTGTACTCCAACTCTTGCCGTTTCCGGTGTCAAGTTATATTTATTTCTCGGGTTCGGGTCTTTGTCTCCGTGTGTTGTTTTCGTTTTCATGCATCTCATACCATGTCATCATGTGCATTGCATTTGCATACGTGCTCATCTCATGCATTCGAGCATTTTCCCCGTTGTCCGTTTTGCATTCCGGCGCTTCGTTCTCCTCCGGTGGTCATTTCTAGCTTTCTTTCGTGTTTGGGAATTAAACATTTCCGGATTGGACCGAGACTTGCCAAGCGGCCTTGGTTTACTACCGGTAGACCACCTGTCAAGTTTCGTACCTTTTGGACTTCGTTTGATACTCCAACGGTTAACCGAGGGACCGAAAAGGCCTCGTGTGTGTTGCAGCCCAACACCCCTCAAATTTGTTCCAAAACCCACCAAACTCTGCTCCATGTCCTAGATCGTTCGATCACGATCGCGTGGGCGAAAACCGCACCTCATTTGGACTCTCCTAGCTCCACTTATGCCTATATATACACCCCCCTTTCGGATCTCAGATTCCTCCCCGTCCTCCTCCGAAAAAAAACCAGATCAACCCCCGCCACCGACGGACGTGTCCGGATCGGACCGGACAACGTCCGCCGCCGCCTCCCGTCCAGTCCGCGCGCGCCACGTGGG